TGACTGGGACAGGTTTTGTTTAGAGAATGAGGCAACATCATGAAGACACAGAGGATAACTGATTTTTATGCTCCTTGTTTTTCTACCAAGAAATCTATTTAAATGCTTTGTATTAAATAAAGCTAAAAAATATAAATATATATATATATATGTATTTTTTTCCTACAGTACAAGTACAAGGAAGGTTATCGCAAACAGCTGGGCCACCACATCGGGGCCAGGAACATCGAGGATGAYCCCAAGATGATGTGGTCAATGCAYGTGGCCAAAATCCAGAGTGACAGAGAGTACAAGAAGGACTTTGAGAAGACCAAAACAAACTTCAGCAGCCCYGTGGACATGCTGGGAGTGGTGTTGGCCAAGAAGTGCCARCAGCTGGTCAGTGACATYGACTACAGGCACTACCTGCACCARTGGATCTGYCTGCCCGACCAGAAYGATGTGATCCATGCCAAGCAAGCCTATGACCTCCAGAGTGATGTGAGCAAATCCTTACGTTTGTGATGCATAATTAAATACTCTGGGTCTTGTACCATCCAGTTTTTAAAATATGGATTATATGCTTTAGTCACTTGCATCAGACTTGTTGAAATGTTTATTATTCTTTCATCAAATTTATGTTTGATCCTATTTTTTCAGTCMTTAACATGAGATATAACTCGTATGTTACTCTGATATTTGCATTGTGCTCCAATACMTCTGTTATTTTTGTTATTTAATAATTATTTCACTTAATCTTCAAAAATAACAGTTGTTTTCAGAACTATATCCTCAGAAACATACTCAGTTGTTCATATAGGATGTGCTTATTTATATCAATTTCAGTATTTGATCACACTGAAAACTTTCAACATTTTCAGGCTGTTTACAAATCAGACCTGGAATGGCTGAGAGGCGTTGGATGGGTTCCTATTGGTTCCTTGGAAGTTGARAAAGCCAAGAAAGCTGGAGAAATCCTCAGTGACAGAAAATATCGCCAACCTGCAGACAAAATCAAATTTACCAGCGTGACYGATTCCTTGGCCATGGTTTTAGCCAAACAAAATGCTGAGATCATGAACAAGGTGAGAKTGGTATTGCCAGTTAACAGATTTTTTCATGAGGTAAAAGAATACAAATTACAAAGTAAAACTAAAGACTTGTGGATTTCAGAGAAAATCAATGTCCAAATTCAGCCATTGTTCAGGGAAGGTGGTCTCTCAGGGCTCAGTCTGAAGTGAGCAGGTGGTAAAAATCTACAGAGAAAAATCCCTTAAATAACATCTTTTCCAAGAGTAAGGAAATACCTCAAGTTCTCTGGAGGTGAAACTTCTCCAACGTATCTCAGATCTGGAGGGTGAAAGTCATTAAATATCTCCTCCATCTCCCGTGTAAGAAACATAGTCAGACAACTTACACAGAATAATTGGTAAGAATTTTCCTCCTATGGCAGTTTATCCACAATCAAAAATCAATCACTTGCTGCGCCAGCTTAGCCTGAGAAATAATGAGGAGGGACAAAGTTTCCTTCTTGAGTTGCTCAGAGAGAAGCTTTGCTGAGTCGGTATTTAGAGCTTACTGGAACTACCCATGGCAATTTGAAAAATAATTTAAAATAATTGTAATTGTAAAATGATTTCATAAAGAACTGTTTGTAAAGGGCTTTTTTGCTCTCTTGTAGCGTTTGTACACAGAAGCCTGGGATGCAGACAAGAAGTCCATCCATGTCATGCCTGACACTCCAGAAATTCTGTTAGCCAAGGCCAATTCAGCCAATGTCAGCAATGTAAGAACATTCAAATGTTTACTAAACTATTGAAAAATCAGAGTTAATTAAGCAATTCTTTAGCCATAAAGATCTTTTAAAATATGCGATCAGGAAAATTTTGAGAAAAAAATTATGAAATCGCAACATTCAGAATATTGATATGCCATTTTCTGTTTCCTTTTGTGTAGAAACTTTATATACAAGCCTGGGAAGAAGCCAAAAAGAAGGGTTACGACATGAGAGCTGACGCCATTTCAATCAAAACTGCAAAAGCATCAAGAGATATTGCCAGTGAYGTATGTTCTTCCTTTACATTTATTTTCAGTTACCTTAAAAACAAGAACATGCATTTTTGTAATCAGTAGCATTAGGAGAATGTGGGACCTTCATCCCAGATTCACTTCTTTTTGTATTTCCAGTACAAGTACAAAGAGACCCACGAGAAGGAGAAAGGCCACTACATCGGGTGCCCCAGTGCCAAGGATGACCCCAAGCTGGCGCTGGCCGCGCGCGCCATGGCCCTGCAGAACGACCGCCTCTACAAGAAAGCCTACAATGACTCCAAAACCCAGATCCACATGCCTGTGGATGCCCTGTCGGTGCAGGCAGCCAAGGAGTGCCAGCACCTGGTCAGTGACACTGACTACAGACAGTACCTGCACCAGTGGACCTGCCTTCCTGACCAGAACGACGTGATCCAYGCACGGCAGGCCTACGACCTRCAGAGTGATGTGAGTGACAATAACTGTAGGAAAGCTTTAGAGCACATGTGGGAGGCTCTGCTTGGTAGTGACTCGCAAATATACTTTCAAAGGCACATTCATGACCCTGCAGTCTGTCCTGACATGTTTATTTTATCCTTTCCAAAGGATTTCAGCCTGGGCGCCAGAAATATTTGGGGTGGTTCATAAGGAAGTCATATTTTCTTGGTCTGCTCTAGAGAATGTTTGCTTGCAAAATACTTGCAGATTATGCAAGTACTACTATGCAGATTATGTCTTAGAAATATCAGTGTTTCTGTGCACATTAGAAGTTCTGTGTGTTGAAAGGACCTTCTACTGCACAGCATCACTGGCTGCTTGCTGTGTAAGAGTATGAGAAGGAGCTGGAGAAAACCATGTAAAAAACCTTCCACTCAGAGTTAGAACCACAGAATTCTGAAATGRTTTGGGTTGGAAAAGATCATCTTATTCAATTCAACACCTTCCACTAGACCTGATTATTCAGGGCTTCATCCAGACTGGTGTTGAACAYCTTCAGGGATGGAGAATCCATCTCTGCAATGCCAGTAAGCCTTGGTTTGTTTGTAGAACGTGTACAAGGCCGACCTGGAATGGCTGCGAGGCATTGGCTGGCTAACAGAAGGTTCTGTGGATGTGGTCAAAGCCAAGAAAGCCCAGGAGCTCATCAATGACCGCTTGTACCGCACGCGGCCGGAGCAGCTGAAGTTCACCAGCATCACCGACTCCCCAGACGTTGTCCTGGCCAAGACCAACGCCATGCAGCTCAGTGATGTAAGCTCACCTTTCACTTATGAGATTCATTTTTTTCCTTTGTTGTCTACCACAGGAATGACTGGTTGAAAATTTTGCAAATTGGAATTACCAAAGAGTTCCTGTTGGTATTTTTTCTCACCTCGGTGAAATRCCATTGTTCTTCCTTTCTCAGCGTCTGTATCGTGAGGCCTGGGATAAAGACAAGACCCAGATTTCCCTCCCTTCRGACACTCCCGTCATGCTGCAGTCCAAAGTCAACGCTCTCAACATCAGCAATGTAAGRGAATAACATGAAATATTTGTAGTGTTAAAAAATGACGAGTGGCAATTGTTCTTTCAGTTTTTGCTCTAAATGGTGGTGTGTGAATCCACCTTCTGATGTGCTTGTCAACAGGAAATTTCATCCAGTGGCTCTTTATCACCTCTCAGCCTATCAGCAGGCTGGGTGTTCATGAGCAAACTCCCAAGCTCAGTGTGGAATTCCACACAACTCCTGCTCCCTTTGGCAAAATTTGCTAAATATTTACCATGGAGGAATTGTTGTAGTCTGCAGACATAGAGAAGTGTCTTCAGGAGTATTTCAGCTGCCTCTTTGTGTTTTGGACCTTACACCTACTTCAAGTCATGAGTTTTCTGTCAAGACACTGGCCAGGATCATTATTGGAACTCTGCCAGTCACTGGGAGCAAAGAGAGCTCCCAAGCTGGGCATTCCAAAGAAGCAGGTTTTTAGAGAAGGCATTTCACTGTGTTTAACAAAGGTGATTAATTTTCTTTGCAGAARCATTATCAGAAGGCCTGGGACGAGGCCAAGGCGAAGAGTTATGACATAAGAGCTGATGCCATTTCCATCAAACAAGCCAARGCTTCCAGAGACATTGCCAGTGAGGTACAGCCTRCTCTTYGTGTGGTGTTTGTGTCTCAGCAGAACAGAGTGATGTTGTRATKGTTTTGTCTGATGGTTGTGTCYAGGTGAGCAACACGTGASTTCTTTTGTYYTCTCTGCATTTCYAGTACAAGTACAAAGAGACCCAYGAGAAGGAGAAAGGCCACTACATCGGGTGYCCCAGTGCCAAGGATGACCCCAAGCTGGCGCTGGCCGCGCGCGCCATGGCCCTGCAGAACGACCGCCTCTACAAGAAAGCCTACAATGACTCCAAAACCCAGATCCACATGCCTGTGGATGCCCTGTCGGTGCAGGCAGCCAAGGAGTGCCAGCACCTGGTCAGTGACACTGACTACAGACAGTACCTGCACCAGTGGACCTGCCTTCCTGACCAGAACGACGTGATCCACGCACGGCAGGCCTACGACCTGCAGAGTGATGTGAGTATCCACAGGCATGAGTGGTTTCTGCTCTTACTGTTTAATATATTATAGTCTTACTCTGATTGTTCAATGCTWTACAGTCACAACAGATTGGTATTTACACTATTTTCTTCAATTTTTTTATGTTACTGCTATTATCTGCTCTTTTTCACCCTTAAAAAGCATCAGTTTTACCTCTAAATGCTATGAGACTTCAGTTGATAGCTGCTCTGCTCCATATTGCTTTTGTGGTGGATTTGGATTTTTTAGAGTAGTGTGGAGGAGGATGAAGGGTTTGTTTTCATGCTTTGATAGACTTAGGAATAACAACTCTTTGCTGCCTTGCAATCAGGGGGCTTTTATTACTCCTGCTCACTTGAGTCAGCTTGGAGATTTATTTAATTGGAAGAAAATGCTGTGAGGTAGCCAGCGAGAGGTTTTAATGGTTGGTTGCAAAGCCAGAGGAGTCAGTGCAGCTGAATTGCTCACTTGCTTTTGCTTCTTGTGTCAACATCAGTYCCTCCTTCACTGTCCCAATTAAAAGCTTTGGAGATGAGGTTTCTCTTTCTTTTTGTCAGTTTTCCTAGCAGGCAGCTTGGGGTTTTGTCAGGACCTGTAAATTGTTGAAATGGCAAGAGGAATAAGTATTTTGGAGGTGACAGGAAGACTCTTCTAAGCTCTTAGTAGTCATCATCATTTCCTGCAACCCCTTTCAGTTGTTTTCCCTTACAAGGTTTAGAATGTGCTGTTTAAGAAATGAACTGCATAGAACCTGCTTGCCACATTGAATTTTACTTCTGACACTGAACACCTCCTGGATACAAAAGGGATTAATCTAGTTCTAGCTAGGTTTGTAAAACATGAGCTGCTTTGCATAGCTTAAAGTAATGAAGACAAGAATTTGAAACAATGTTTTCCTTTTCTGACCATCTCTTACAGGCTGTGTATAAGTCAGACCTAGAGTGGCTCCGTGGAATTGGCTGGCTGCCCAACGACTCTCCAGAAATTAAGAGGGTGAAGAATGCCCAGGATCTCCTGAGTGACAACGTGTATCGGACCCCCATTGACAGTGTGAAATACACCAGTGTTGTGGATTCCCCAGACGTTGTTCTGGCCAAAAYCAACGCTGAACAGATCAGCATTGTACGTTCCAACCTCCTCAAAGCTGCTTTCATGCTGGAAACTGAAGCTAAAGAAAAATCTGATTGCTAAAATATCAAACTGATCAGTGGTATTTTATGCTTAATGCTTCTCCAAAGATTTTATTCTTTAGAGATGATAATTCAGYAAAGATTTGTGGGATTTTATGTTATCGATAAGTGAAATTTCATCGTTCTGATATTATTAAATGACTGTTTTAACAGCCAAAATACAAAGAAGCCTGGGAAAAGGACAAGACTATGATCCATATTATGCCAGACACCCCTGARATCAACCTAGCCAAGGCTAATGCTGTTAATTACAGCCAGGTAGGTTTGTCATTCTGTTTGCTGTAAAATAGCATGTGAATTAGATCATTCTAAGATATTGGATCTCTTTGAATTTCATTGGTCTGTCCTCATACAGAGCTTGCAACATTTCTCTTCTGTCTGCTGAGTATCCTTAAAGTATTTGGCCAAAATAAAATCAATCATCTTTAAAATAAATGCTTGCATACAGCTATTTAAAAACTATTAATATCATGCGCCACTGAGGGAATACTTTATTCAAATAGATGAGAATTCAAGGCATATAAATACTTTCTAAACTTTTACAAACACATTTCTCTGCTTTATAGGTTGCTCAACTGTTGTTGTGTGTTTCAGAGGCAGAAAGGCTGGAGCTGTATTTATGGTTAGGAGCAGGACTAAAGCACACAAAAAAATTCCATGGAGTATCAGCAAAGAAATGGCAGGGAGCTTTATTTTTATAATGGCAAAAGCCAGAGCATTTAGCACATGTGTGATRTTCTCCTCTGTCTTTCCAGAAACAATATAAAGGAGCTTGGGATGAGTTGAAAATGAGCTATGATTTGAGAGCAGATGCAATTCCAATCAAGWCTGCCAAGGCTTCTAGAGAGATTGCCAGTGATGTAAGTGCCAAAAGAGGATCTCACATACTCCAAGAGCCCTTTCATGCTCACTGTTACTAATGATGACCTCTTCTCTTCACCCAGTACAAATACAAGCTGGAGCACGAGAAACAGAAAGGGCACTACGTGGGAGTTCCGAACGCACAGGGAGATTCCAAAATCCAGTTCGCCCTGGACGTAGCCAAGGTTCAGAGTGAACGGGAGTACAAGAARCACTTTGCCAAGCTGAGGACCCAGTGCCACCTGCCAGTTGACATGGTGTCCATTGTGTCAGCCAAGCACGGGCAGACCCTGGTGAGCGACACCGATTACCGGCATTACCTGCACCAGTGGATCTGCCTCCCGGACCAGAACGATGTCATTCACGCCAGGCAAGCCTACGACCTGCAGAGTGATGTGAGTTCACTTGAAAGCACCCCTTAACTTGGTCCTGTTGATACCTAAATGAGGCTTACTTAAACCAGAGGCTGGACACAATTCAGAGAATCCAAAGCAGCTCTTCAGGGCCATTCAGGGCAGTCCCACACCCACAATGGACAATGGCTCACGGGTTTTTCACCCTTTCTCCCTTTTGTCCATTTGCACATCGGGATTTGCTGAATCCTCCAATTGCAGCTGCAGCCAATGCAGTCATTGACTCCAAGTTTGCCCCCTCGATTCTCTGCTGTTTTCATCTCTTGGGGCCTGGCACAGGGAGGTGTCCTTGAGTTTGGGGCTGGAGAGGAATTGTTTTGTGTAAAAATGGGAGAGCAGGAGCTCAGCACTGTCTGTGGGGTCTGTAGTTAAACACTGAAGGATTACAAGATCACAGATACATGAAAATATAGAAGCTAAAATCCTAAGGCATCACTGTACTGCCTCTTCCTATTCTGCTTCAGCTCTAAGGAGTGGGAATCTTTTCCTGGATTCRGGGAACTCACCTTGCTCTTTGTTAGAGTTGCAAAGTATAGGGCACTTATAACTGGCCAGGTTTGAAGAGTGATAAATTCAGATAGAATTTTCATGTTGGAATTACTGCTCCCCTTCTAAACCCTGGAAGTAAAAGCTGTTATTTATGAATCTTTCTGGATTGCACAGGGAACTGTAACTAACAGCGTGGACCCTGTTTTGTTTTCCCAGGCTGTTTATAAAGCTGATTTGGAATGGCTGAGGGGAATTGGATGGTTGCCAAATGATTCCCTTGGAGTCAAGCATGTCAAATATGCTGGAGATCTCCTGAGTGAGGTAACCAAATGTTTATCAATACTAAAATTTTCTTCAGCGGTTTTTGCCACTCAAAGTGTTTTAAGTGGTTAAACACATACAAGTGTTTTTCAAATGAAAAATACAATTGTAGTATTTTCACAACATTCATTGTGTATGGAGACCTTTTTCTCCTTGTAAACTTCCTTGTCTTGTGTATGTATTCAGAATTGCTGCATTAGGCATCAAATCCTTCATTCAATTCTCTGACTGTTCTTTCCTCTCATACAGAGAAAGTACCGCACAAAAGCCGAAACTCTTCCTTTCACTCCCGTGGCAGACAGAGTTGATTATGTCACAGCAAAGAAYAGCAGTGAAATTCTCAGTGATGTAAGTTCACTCACAGGTGCTGGGCTACATCTGTGATTTTGTATTTAATGTGCTTTGTCTAAAGGCCCTGCAAATTTTGGGGTTGATTCATAATTTTGTGAGTAAATCATGGTGTTTTCCCAGTTCTGTGACAGTGGTATAAAGCAGTGATTTCTTTCTGTGTCCTAGGTTAAATACCACAAGGCATGGAATGAGGCCAAGTCAAATTACACTCTGACAGATACACCACAGCTGGAYATGGCCCGAGAGGCAGCCAGAATTCTAAATCAGGTACGTGCTCTCTCCTTGACAGCTTCTATTCACATTTCTCAGGTATTTCAAAAACCTGAATTACTAAGAACAACCTGAAGGAAGGATTTATTTATCCTTTTATATTCATACTTTTATCTAAGTTACTGTAACAGTTAGCATTGTAGTAGTGTTGAATTCTTCATCACTTTTATTTCCCACAGAATTTATACAAGGAAAGTTGGGAGAAAGAAAAAGCCACTGGTTACCTCCTGCCCCCTGACACAGTGCAGATCTCTCACGCCAAGCGCTCATCTGATGTCCAGAGTGAGGTAATGATTTTTCTCATTAGGAAGATGATTGCTTGGAAGCCTGAAATGTTAAAGGCCTTAAAAATTCCCAAATAAACTTAAAAAGCTTTCCATTTTGGACAACATCATGGCCCATGAGTTCCACTCTCCTCTGAACAATTCAGCTATCTTTGTGATTTGGGTTCTGGAGATACCAGTGCTGAAGATCAGCTTGACCCTTCCACATTCACTCTCTCCAGAAACAGTCCTTTCAAAATCAACTCAGCTGGACTTCCATGTTTTATAAGTGTCAAATAATTGAAGTGACTCTATAATTATAACATATATGGCTCTGATTTCACTTTTTGGCCTATCATGGAAGCTCCCTCCTTGAAAACCTGTAAGCCAGTACACACTTTACATTTTAAACTTTGGCATAACGGACCTTGAAGTAATAACCTGACAACATGACTTGCAATAAACATTTTGTCAAAACAGTGTGATGTAAATAACCTAAATACCCATCTATTCTTTAGACAGTTCAAATCATTTTTTGCCACAATGCCACTAAATCTATTAGTAGAAATCAATTAATAGAAAACATTTTCTAACAAGTCTTTCCTCTTGGGTTGACAATACCTTTTACTGAAAATTGGGAGTATATAAGAATAGTGTAGAAAGTGTATTAGACTAATATTAGTATAGTATTAATATTAGTATTGGAATAATATTAGTGTATTAGAATAACAAAGAAAATGCTGTATTTTGAACTTGAAGCCTATACAATGTGACATTGCTGTTTGTGTGATATTTTTCTCTCATCATGTACTGAAAACCTAAGGCTGTGTTTGACAACTCTCTGTCTCATCTGCTGTTGTTGACAAACCATAATTGTTCACAAGTTAAAACCAGAGTGGACACAGCCAGTGCTGATTTTCTCTGTATTTCTCCCCCCTGCCATCAGCTGAAATACAAAGCTGAGTATGTCAAGCAGAGAGGTCACTACGTGGGAGTCGCCAAGATGAGGGACGACCCCAAACTGGTGTGGTACGAGCACGCGGGCGAGATCCAGAACGACAGGCTCTACAAATCAGACTACAACAAAACCAAGTCCAAAATCCACATGCCTTCGGATGCCCTGCCAGTTGTGGCAGCCAAGGAGTGCCAGAATTTGGTCAGCAATGTTGAGTATCGGCAGCACCTGCACGAGTGGACCTGCCTTCCTGACCAGAACGATGTGATCCACGCACGGCAGGCCTACGACCTSCAGAGTGATGTGAGTGATAGTACAACCCTACAAGCTCATTTCCACGGGGTCTGACTGAAGGATCTTGCCCACAGCACACAATCCATCCTGAGTTCAATGATTTCTGTTCCTTTTGCACTGTTTTTCTGATTTAGAATGTTTATAAAGCTGATTTGGAGTGGCTTCGTGGCTGTGGTTGGATCCCTCTCGATTCAGTGGAACACAAGAAAGTTAAGAATGCACAAGAACTGATAAACAAGGTAAGAGAAAATATTTCATCAGCTCCACAAGTAGCATTTCCTTCTCCTTACACGGTTTTTAAACTATTATTTCCCTTCTGCAGAGAGCATACACCAAAGAAGCCCTGGAGAACTTTTCCAAATACACCAGCGTGGCTGACACTCCTGACATTGTTTTGGCAAAGATGAACGCTGTCAATCAGAGTGATGTATGTATCATTTTTTAAAATAGAAACTTATCTAAAAGAGTTAGTATATGTTTTCATTGCTTTTGCTAAACTATACAAATTTTAGCCTTGTATGTCTGTGTGTACACCTCATTAATAACAGGCTCTTTTAGGGTAAATAAATTTAGTAAGAAGTGATGTGAATCAACAACAAAATATTGCTATTTACATAGCAATTATGATGTTAATTATTAAGTAATTAATAGTTAATTGTTTAAATAATTTAAAATTTTCCTGTAGAAGAATTTGTCATGTCCCTGACTTGGAGTTTGCATAGATTTTTCTTATAGTAKTTGAAAACTGAGTCCTGTTCTTGGTGAACAATGGTTAATGGAGTTCTGGTGTTGCTAATCTGCATTTGCTGAGCAGTATGTTTGATTTTACAAGAATACAGATGGATTTGGAGGTGACACTTTTATCTGTGACATTTATCTGTGCACTACAGTGACTGGAATGTCCTACAYAACATTATTACATTATAACACAAGATCAAATTAATGCCCACTACTAATAGATGGACTAATGGGAATAATGCATTTTTCCTGTGGAATTAACACTGTGTGTGATTCCTTTTGTAGCTAAAATACAAAGAAACCTTTAACCAGGAGAAAGGCCAGTACATTGGATCTGCTGATACTCCTGCTCTGCACCATGCCAAAGACATGTCCTTGCTCCACAGTGAGGTGAGATCCCATAAATATCAACCTGAGCTCTGATTTCCTTCCTTTGAAAGCAATAGAATGTGGGGTGGACTTCAGGAACTGTTCTACTCTCAGTAGTGGCATCGGGATTGTTATTTAATCCCTTTTTTCCTTCAGTGTTTCCCATTTTGGAACTGGGATTATTTCTTTCTTTATTGAACTGATCTTAAGGCACAGCTGTTTGGTGCTTGGAAGCCATAACAGTGTGACAAAACCTACTGTAATACCATCCAATAATATCTTCTGAGACTACTGATCGGTTCTACATTTACTTTTTTTAATAAGAAAGAACAACTGCAGATGATTTTCATTATATTAGGCACTTATTTTTGAGTAATCTCACTGATTTTAATGAGAAACCTCTATTTTTTGAAAATAYAAGGAATTACTTGTTCATATGAGTAGATACTTCTTATTTCAGTCTGAAGACAAATGTATATAATATTTGACAAAACAAGTATTAGGAAAGTGCCACTAATTTTTCTTTAATTAACGCAGTATTACTTGAAGATTTTTCACAATCTCAGTTCTACACTGCACTTTTAAACAAGAGTTCATATCTTCATTTTGGGTGTCTRAAATACTTTTCTGGATATAAACATGGCAAAGAAAGCAGAAATCAGCTCAGATTCGTGCTCTGATACTTTTCTGAAGTGAACATTTGTTGTGTCTGCCTCACACTGAATGATCAAAATGAACATTCTCAATTTAATTTTTTGGGAACCACTCTGGAAAACCATGAATGAGAAGTAAAATTGATTTTTTTAATCAAAACCTGTCTGTGCTTTTTTTGTCCAGAAACATTACAAGAAGGCTTGGGAACTGAGCAAACCCATTGGATACACTTTGGATGAGAAATACATTCCCCTTGTGGGAGCCAAACATGCAAACCACATCAACAGYGAGGTCAGTRRGGATTTCCCATTYTTTCCCTTTTTCCCCCCAATATATTGTTAAAATGAATGTTAAAATTGCCACATGATTATTTTTCAGCGCAAATATAAGGAAATATATGAGAAGCTGAAAGGCCATTACCTGGCTGGGAAGGATATTGGTGATTTCCCTGGTGTCATTCACTCCCTGGAATTCCAGAAAATGAGGAGCGCGGTAAGGAGGGAACGAGTCTTCCTAGAATATTTTCCATTTGCTTCATTTCCCAGATAAAATCCACTATTTCATTACTTAAACATAAATAATGCAATGCTTAACAGAATTATAGAACCACAGGTTCATTAAGGTTGGAAAAGATTTCCAAGATCAGTCCAACCTTAACATCAATGCACAATCACATCAGTAAAAGTGATTTCAAGATGTTTATGTTTCCTGAATGCTTATTTTATGTGTCAGTTGAATAACTGAGCTTCAAATTATTTAAGAAATTAGGAAGGGTTTTGTTTAGCTGTTAGAAATATTGGAATGAGAAAAACAACTTTTTTTTTATATTTCAGTGTGAGGATCTGAGGAGAACCACTTGGGATTCTTTTGCTTTATGAATAAAAGTGTAGATTTTAAGCTGAAATARGAATTTCAGAACTCAAAAAATAAATGCACATTTGGTGTGTTCCTGTTATCAGCATTGTGCATGCATCATGTCATGCAGGCCATAAAATTAGTATAATCCCACTTATTCTGTCTTTAATTAGATGAAAAYCATGTTTGTAGCAAATTACTTTTTTCATCTTGAAGTCTTCTTAGTTTCCTCAGCAGCTACTAAATCTGCCAGTGAAGGCTTTTCTTGTCTTCTCAAACCACATCAGAATAAATAGTGATTAACATCAAAGTTAAGATTCCATCCTTTTGAATCCCATGGGAGTTCAGATACTAAATCCAGAAAACATCTCAGATTTTGCTGTAGCCTGTTAGTAAAAGTTATACACAAAAAATGTTATTTCCTCTCATGTTTTCCCCAATCTTTGCTTTCCAGCTGGCCTACAGGAAGAATTATGAAGACAACAAGAAAAATGTGCACATTCCAACTGACATGATGAAYCACGTCCTAGCCAAGAAGTGCCAGTACATCCTCAGTGATCTGGAATACCGGACCTACTTCCACCAGTGGAATTGTTCACCTGAGGAAAATGATGTTCTTCAYGCCAGAAAAGCCCAGGAGATTCTGAGTGATGTATGTTTATCATTTATGTAGAATCAGAGAAAATCCTGAGTTGGAAGGGACCCKTCAGGGTCATCCAGTCCAACTCCTGGCCCTKCAYAGGACACCCCAAAARTCCCACCAGGAGCCTGAGGGTGTTGTCCAAACCCTTCTAGAGCTTATATGAACTTAATGAACTAATTTGTTTGACATTTTAGCAACATTTTCCATCATTTTTTCCAAGTTAATTAAATATAAAATACTTTCTAATGCCTACCATAAGTTTTAAATATGAAATTGATAACCATGGCTTTAGATTGTTGGTAGCATAGTGCCAATCACTGCAGTGACCCTTATCTATTGGAATTGGGAATATTGGAATTAGAATTAATATTAGAGGGGTCAGGACAGCATCCAGGGTCCTTCTGGATCCAGTGGGTCTGGACAGGAGCTCTCCTTGTTTGTTGGGGTTCACCCACAGCTGGAGAAAGGTGCTCATATTCCGTAATCAAAGGTGACTCAACTTGGACCAGCCAACCTTCCCAATCAAATCTGATGTTTTTTTAATTGCCCGCCTCATTGGGATGCAGAATTCTTTGGTTTAATTGGGAGAAGGCAGATTTCTTTCTAACTTATTGTTCTGTTCACTTCCACGCAGGCTGTGTATAAAGATGACTTAAATTGGCTGAAGGGACTCGGATGTTATGTCTGGGACACTCCTCAGATCCTGCAGGCTAAGAAATCCTATGAYCTCCAGAGCCAAGTAAGTTTTCCTTAAATAAATAATATTTATAAGAATCTTTTTTCTTCTGTTTGTGATTCACTGGGGTTGACATGTCCTAGTCCAGAGCAGAATAAAGTCACTCCTGTTACATCAGAAATATTTYGTTCAAGCTGAGATAACACAGTCTTTGAAGAAATATTTTGTTCAATCTCATATAACACAGTCCTAGAATTGCTTCTGTAGATACATCACTTGTGTTAGTGAAGGAGGAGAAAACACAGGAGATTGGAAAGAGCTGTGTTTTTTTATTTCATTATTCCTTAGCTCACCCTGGCTATATATTAAGTATTTCTATTTTATAACCTGTCACTTTTAGAATTGATCTTAATTGTAATCCTTGACCTCMGTTGTTGAGATATGATTTCAAAGGAAGCTAGCAGGGAATTTCCAGGTCATTTTTAGTACTAATGAGCTTTTTTACTGGTTTTGTTTCCTTAGATAAAATACACCTCTGTGGGGAAGGAGAACTTCCAGAACTTCAGTGTGGTCACAGACACCCCAGTTTATGTGACTGCTYTGCAAAGTGCAGCCAACGCCAGTGAGGTGAATCCCCACCTGCTCTGCTCAGGATTGTCCYTCTGAGCACTGAAACAATTCACTAAACCCAGCTTTCATCTTCCAGGTGAAATACAAGGAAGAATTCCAAAAAACTAAGGACAAGTACACAACCGTGACGGAAACAGTGGATTCRGAAAGGGTTCATAATTTGAAACATCTCTACAGCGATGTAAGTGCTTATTCACAATTTTTTCCCCTTAAGGACCTTTAATGAGGAACTTTTATTTTATTTTGCWTGTTCACTCTGTTTGAAGATAAACATCCAAACAAGGAGCTTATCAAARCCAGTGCTGGACCTTGGCACCATTTGTGCTTGGGGGAGATATTGTATTTCAGACAAGGGCCAAATTTTCCAACTCTAACACCAGTCTTGGCAAAGCACATGGGTTAATAAATGGATTCTCTAAATAAAATTACATCTGGACMAAATTGAAACCTCATATGAGAACAAACATGAATAATTAGAAAGCATTTTTATCCCCCTTTGCATGCACTTCATATTAAGTATTAATTAATACCTTGTTTACAATATTTTAATAGGTGACGTCTACATAAAAGCAAAAGGGCTTTTGATTTCTATTGGTTGTTGGTAATTATTTAGGAAAATTATTTTTCCAGTCTCACAAACTTTCTATTTCCCCACAGAATCTCTACAAGAAGGCCTGGGACAAAGTGAAGGCCACTAGCTATGCCATGCCCTCGGATTCTGTAGCCTTGGCACGCGCCAAAGAACTGAAGCACAATGCAAGCATTGTAAGTGAATTAAATTCTTTATTTTTTTAAAACCAGATCATCAATTCTAGCCATGAAATTGTTCACACTTTGCATATACTATAGGTGTAAATATTTTTTAAACTTTTCTTTATCTTCCCTTTTTAATTAAGACATAATGTTTATCTGTAGATAATCAGTTTTCTGTGATAATTGCAATAGTCTTTTGTGGCTTCCTGTTATGGAAAAAAAAGTCACATTTTATACTAATTCAAACTGCCTCTTGAAAATGACTGCTTAGGGTTTTTCTAGTCTAAATTTCATGAATATCCACATCAGAAAAATGCCAAAAATCCTTAAATAATRCTTTACTCAGTGTAGAAGAACATCAGCTTTACTGAGCTGATGATTATGAGAGATCACCCCAGAGATCTCTTTAAATGAAAGAGCTGGGATAATAAACAAGTACCTTATTCTACATCTATTTATTTTTAATAAAATAATTTTGTATTTTTGTATTTTTAATTTTAATAAAATCCTCTATTCAGTAGCTATTTTTACTACTTGATTGCTATGGTGTTCTTTCTTTGGCATTTAGGACTAAACAGAAAACCAAAATCTTGTTGGAAAGCCTTTCTCTACTTGTTAGACTCAACTTTTTGCTTAGTGATGAATTTTGTTCCAAAAATGCATGACTCCCTGGAGTCAGTTAATTGTTGAATTTCTTTGCCTCTGCTCAGGTCAAATATCGTGAGGAATACGACAAGTTCAAAGCCCTTTACACCCTCCCCAAAGGTGTTGAGGATGATCCCAATACAGAAAGGTGCCTCAGAGTTGGGAAGCTCAACATTGATGTAAGTGTTGGCTCTGGAGATGTGTTTTCTGATAAAACCATTCTTTTGTCAGAAGAAGCTTCCCAAAGAATCCAGATATCCCATTTCCATGTGAAATTGTGCAATATTTGCTRAATTCTAGAATACAYCCATAAATTTAACTTTTAACTCRACAATTGCTTTGCCTGCATGGCCAAATCTTTGGTGTAAAAGGGAAAAAACTACACAATCTGCCTTCTTTTAACCCATCAGCACAATGACAATTGAACAAA